ACCCAGCCGGCACCGGCTGTAGTCTCGTTGCGTGGCCGAACGACCACGGCAATCCTGCTGCATTATTGGCCCCGAGCCAGCCAAGCCGAGGTTGCGACAGCCACAACTCCACAGTGGCTCCAGCTGACGTCGCATGCCCCAGGTGGGCACGCGGGTTGCGAAAAAGACCCCACACCCCGCACCCACAACCACACACAGAGGTGTGCGGCCTTTTTTGCAACCCGCGTGGTGGGCAAGTCCAGCCAAGCCCCACCACTTGCCCACCCCATTTCTACCCACGCAAGGCACGTATTTCCATGCGGCCCTCTCACATGCTAATGAATGGTCGGATTTCGGACCATGTACCCATTTGCGGAGGACCGTCCGCCTTCTCCAGATCCTCAAGGACCCAGGACCCTTCCCCGGGCAGGGCTTTTCAGTAAACTCCGAGCCTGGTTCACTGGTTCGCTCCTGGACTTGATGAGGAGGTCGCATCCGTGATCCCGTCGGCAACCCCCCGCAAATTGCATCATGATACCACATTCGATTGGATGCCATGGACACGGCGAGGACACTCTGGCGGTCAGCATACTATACACGTTTCCTGCCATGCTACGGAGAATCCAGTCTCTAGTACGAGAAGGGACCATCGTTTTCGCACTTGGCTAGATCGCACATCTTATCATCCATCAACCAACATCCAACATGGTCAAAGTTTTCCGTCACGAGAGCTCTTACCGCATCATATGTTGTGTCAAATCTGCAAAGCTCGTCTCAAGGAAGGCATTACCAGACGTCACACCAACGGTCCGGTACTCCCGACTTCGAAGTCGATCCTACAAACTATGATTTCGGGTGATTTGAGTCCAACTTGAACAAAGACAGTGTCCTCCGGTTTAACCGTCCAGCAGACCCCGTATCAAGTTACGGCCATGTAGCCATTCCAGGGTACGGCACCGAAGCTAAACCTACGAGAGTGACGCTACGCCAACGCATATGACGCATTCTTCGACATTAAGCCCCTTGAACGCAACTAAGATCAGAGCCCACGGTATTTTCTCTTGCGCTTCGAGCAAAGGAAATCCATCGTTCAAACATCAGCTCAGGGCACAATATAGTGGACAATGGCCGTGGCCCTGGATAGCACTACAGTAAAATGACCCAGTGCCAATATCTATGGAGAATCCTCATGCTATTGCGGTCATCTTGGCGCGCTATTGCGGCTCATCGACTGCCTTGGAATGGGATACAGCCGATGAAACTCAGACATATACAGTCGAGCCAGCTCGTCGCAATTGATAAATAATCAGAATATCAAACCTGCCCTCTCGTGTGTAAGACCTACCACTGACATTACATGGAGAGAATATCTATACTTTATGGCTCCGCCATACGCCGACGAGCGCCAGACACAATTTATTCCCTGCAATGCTTAGACTATATACACCTTTTTTTTCGCCTCATAAATCATCAGGTCAAAAACATCATGAATGATCGTTAAGTTATGCCAGCTTCAGGCGCCATCCTAGCCATAGAGGGGTTACGTTCTCGCGGTTTGTCCACAAGATCAGCATAACTAGCTAGGCTTGCGCCCATTACTTTAACCATGTCAAATATATGCACTCCTTTAAAAGCTTCTGCCCATAATCGAACGACAGCACTTGCAAGTTGCCTCAATTTTGCACCGTCGCTAGCCACCATTTCCACCGGACCAGAAATCGAACTGGGCCCAGCAAGTGAAGGATCGATGGGAACTGCGAATTCCGTTTCATCCAACATACGTCGAATGTTTTGCAAGAGATTCCTCTCTTCTGGTGATGGTGCTGGATCTGATGGTGTGATTGCAGATAGCGTGACAAGCCATTTAGCTAGTAAAATCGCACATTCGAAGTTGCAGACTAGTATTGATCAGTTAATACGAGCACCCAAGATAGCCGTAGCTGGCAAGATACGAACGTGCGTGTTGTATGCTCCATTCAGCAGACTTTGCTCTTGCAACGTAATTGACACCAGCCTTGACAAGCATAGACAGGACATGAACCGCCTCAAACACCGCTCGGTGTAGTCTTAAGCTGCGATGTAACAAAGGCGTACTATTTAGCGCCGATGCGATCGCCATCGAGTCTCTTGTTTCAAGAGCACGGCTTGGAGGGATGTCCGTATGTAAGCGGATATACGCCAGCCGTAGAAGAGCAGTGGCGTTGAACGCAAGCGACCCCCCGGAGCTCGGGTCAGTGTTCATTGAAAGTCCAGACTCTGCGGCCCGAATCTGGTGACGATGTCCGAAGCTAGTCTGCCACACTCGCAGTGCCTGCGATACCTCCTCAACATCCTCCGGTTTCAATGTTCGTTGAACATCGTATGACGAGCCAGCGGCAAACGACGTCTGTTTCAAAAGATATATGTGTTGAATTAAAGCATGGATTAATATATAATGACCAAGAGAGGAGAGATGGTTTGGCAGGCCTTGGGTAGTGCGACCGAATAGTCGTGAGAAGGCCCCGTGTACCGTGATATCAGCCACAGGAGTAGTCTGCCGCAGTTCTTGCCATTGCCAAGCAGATTCAGCTCTCCAAAGTCTTGATCGTGCTGGCATGTACAAATTAAGCTCAGCGGTAAGAAGTAGTGGCGGTATATCATATGCCGTGCTACATAGGTTGAAGAAACAAAAGGCGATTAGTTTTGTTCGATTGGCACCTTCTAGTCGTATCCACGTGTCCCATTCATTGAGAGACGATGGGCTGGTCTCTACGTTCAGACTTTCCTCGCGGATAAGAATTGCCAAATTGCTCTGCAAAGACAAAGCTTCTTGAAGAATTGTTTTGGCCCCCCACAGGCCAACGGCAAACAGGAGGAGTACTGCCTGGATGGTTTCGAGTCTGGCTCCTGGCGTATTGGGAGAGCTGGGTAACAGTTTAGCTGGAATTCCGAACTAGTGGAAAGCCGCGACTTTTAGTGCATGTTGTGAGAACTTACTATGGCTCGCGATGGGTATCATGTGTGACGGTTCGTTCGGATTGGGCCGATGCAAACGAGTGCCTATAGCTTATGCTAGGGGACGGTCTTGTTGAGTGCGGGCTATAGGATGCGGCTGTTGGCAGCAAGGCATGTACTTCGGAGCTGTGTCTCCTCCTAATTTGTTCCATTGCAACGGTTTTAGCCGCATACCATAACGCATAACCCCTATTGTTCTCGAATCTGTACTGAGCACCTACTGCCAGTATTGCCAGAAGCAACTCCGGAGCCATGTCGACAGGAACCAGGGTAGGTAAATGCAGGAATGGTAAGTGGTCGTGGATTCCGCCGATGTAGCCCTCGAAAAATCGTGACATTGTGTGACGAGACGGAAAGATGAAATCATTTGGCAAAACAGCTGAAAACTCGTCGAGATGACTCTTCATTATATTATAATCTGTGACCGAAATTCGGAGTAGATTTGTTCTTAACGAGTCTTCATGCAACCGCTGCCCTGTATCAATCGGTTCTCGGATATCAGGGGCGAGAGAACCGAAGCGAGAAGGGAGCTGTGACGAAGGCCGAGAGTTGCCTCTCGGATTCAGTTGTCCGGGCGTCCTTGCCCACATACTAAACTGTTGATCGGACTCAAAATGCGGGGGCAAAAGACATGCAGAGCCAGCGATCTCATCCAAAAAAAGGTTGTAATCGTCGTAAACCGGTTGCGGAGGCTGGGTTGCAAAGCCTGACGATAACACGGGCTCGGATTCTTCGTGGCGAGGACGCTCAGAATAACCTCCCATGGGTCCATCGAAGCTTTTGACTCTGCCATGATGAACAGTCTCCCGCTGCGACATGTCGTTTAACATCGGTGGTATTGTATTAACCTCTGTCGCCAAAGCAGCATCCGAGAGAACATCAAGATTACAGGCGACAGATCGTGGAGTAGCAGCACGGGGATCTTGTGCGAGGTGATGGTGGCCAGATCCAGCTCCCGGGTTGACAGCCGTGTGATGATATGCCGCCTGATGTTGTGGCGGCTCTTGATGTTGAAGTGATCCATGTTGATTAATGGAAGCTGCGTGTAATCCTATAGGTTCTGCGTCGATATGGTTGTCCGAGCTTGATGCCTTCTGGGAGGTTGTGCTAGAAGACGCTCTTCTTTGCGGCTTGCTATCTTTGTTTCCATCATTAAGGTGAACGAGTTTCTCATGCCTGACGAGAAGATCACTGATGTCCATATAAGTATACTTCTTTCCTAATTAAGTACGGGATGGGGTACAAGACAAGTCAAGTTGGTGAAAGGTGAATACAAGGCGGTGATAATGCATATATATGTGGGTATATATATAGAACGGGCGTGCGTAACAGAGAAACCCAGGGCAGGCCCTTGTGGAGTAGGAGTTGGAACAGCTCCCACATGCTACAGGACACCGCCTGTGCTCCTGTGTGCTTGGTTGTTTGGTGTTGGCGCAGGTGCTGGTGAGGGGGGAAGAAGTATCAACTACTGGTGCATGTCTGAGGGACGTGGCAATGACGCTCGAGGTAGGCAGGTGGCATATAACTTACCGTCGTCCAAACGTTTTCCCACAGCGGTCCCAGGTGCAACCAAATGGTTTCTCTTTAGTATGAGTTCTTTCATGCCGTTGAACGTGTTCAACTCGTCTATCATGGTTCATCCCGTTGACATTAGCATAATTTTCTCTGGTTAGAGAAGTACGGAGACGAATTGATGACAGACCTGAATCTTTTGCTACAGTATTTGCACGGTAACGTTTTGGGCTTCTGGCCACGGTTTTGTCCTGGTTCACCCAAGGCAAGGCCAGCTCCTTGCACATGAGGAACACCCTCGAGCGTGTGATGTATAGGAAGCATAACGCCTAGGAAATACACAAGTATGACCGATGCCTTTGGCTCTGCATTACTCACTCCGCAGGGGAGGGTGAATATTACACACTCGGGATTTTTGGAGATGTTGGAGGAAAGAAAGGAACCTTTGTGGGGTGCCACTGAAGCACAGGAGCCTTGCCAAGTACGCAGTGGACTCGCGCTGACAGAATGAAGAGAGGCTCACGGTTGTTTCCGCCTTCCCCGTCGTGATTCCTCGTGATATTCTGTGCTGATGATGATAGGTGGGGATATCCTTTCCTGAAGCCGAGGGCAGGGAGGGTGTGAGAAGCAACTCGCTAAGTTGCGGAAGACGATAGCCCATTCATTGGATGACGAGAAAGGCTGGGGAACCAAGCAGGGATTATGACACGAAAAGGCGGAGAAGAGCTCAAGCCTAGTCAAGAGTTTTTGACTCAGCTAAATGGCCGCGTTCTGAAGAAAAAGGACCCCTACAGCTTGGAAATAGATCTGTCGGGATGGGGTTGGGGAGGGGGGGG